CAACAGAGCCAGGCAGAAGGCCTACCAGCAAAAATGCAGCTAGTTAATTCTGTAAAGGAAGATCAAATATACGAATTATTAAATGAGCCAAGTATAGAATGCGCACAGTTACCTGCAAATCCAATTCGGTCGCCCCTGCCACGACGTCAAAAACAAAGGCAGCAAGTGATTGCTAAGCGAACAACTGTACGAAGTTTTGCACAGTTGCGGAGTATGGAGCGGCAGCAGCAGAGCCGGGCAGAACCCTCATCAACAACGACACAGCGAATCATCCCTGCAAGGAAAGATCAAATACACAAATTAATGAAAGAGCCAAGTGTGGAATGCATACATTTACCTGCACAACCAATTAAATCTCTTCCGCCACGGTATCAACGACAAAGGCAGCAAGAGATCATTGAACAGCAGCAACAAGTCTCAGCAGAGCTGCTCCGCAAGCCACGGCAAAAACAACAACAAAGTCCGCCAATGAGTTTCCCTCAGCCAGGGCAACAACGACAAGGACAGCCGGGGATCATTCAGCAACAGCCAGCAATACCTGCAAATGGAGATCAAACACATCTACCACTGAGTGAGACAAGTGTGAAGTGCACATACTCACCTGCACAACCAATCCGATCACCGCCGCCACGGCATCACCGACATAGGCAGCAAGGGATCAGTGAGCACACTAAGCTACAACAACAAACTCCGACAGGCACCAAGCGCAAGCGGTCCCCTCAGTCAGCACAGCAGCAACAACACAGGCATTTTCCAACCACAGACCAGGAACAGCTGCAAATTTGGCCGCATTCCTTGCAAAGTCCACTACGGCACGCGACATATGGCCAACGGCAACCGACGCTGCAGCAGTATCCAGTTAGCGAGTGGCGACCCGGACATAACTGGAGGCAACTCGCACATCGAAAGGCACGCCCGCTTGCGAATTCACCAGAGTCCCCTGGAAAGAAAAGAATCATTAATTAATTAGTAACTGGTGTTAAAACACAATACAATGTATCATGTATAATTTATTTGTAAGAAAATATTGCCAGACTGCAATACACTGCAGTCGATCACTTTCGATGCATGCGATGAATTCTCGTTCATCGCATGCGGAGTTGCCACTTTGTTTTAAGTATCGATATGTACGCTAATTATATTTGAATAAGTTGCTCGATAGTAACGCACAAATAAAATAGGTAAGCTGCCGATTGTCTCATTCGACAGCAAGCCCTCATCGTGTACAATAGTGCACAG